AACATTGACATTATTAAAGCTTTGCATAATGCCAGGTTGCTGAGACTGTCGAAGCCTTTCATTTTCAGCTTTAAGACATTCTAACTGAGTTTTTAAACTAGAAATTTCATGATCATTAGTAACAACTTGACTGCTAAGAGAAGGTGGTTCTTTACTATTAGAAAAACCACGGTTGTTCTTTTTATTTAGTTGTTTGGGTAGTGTCATAATAGTCAATAAAAGGTCTTTATGTAACATTCAAAGAAGGGTAAAGTTTATAACTTGCAACCAATTTTTATTTATATACTTAATCACTTGTTGGACTACGAATCAAGCTTTAAATTTGAATTTAAACTTTTTTAAATATCTTATTCAATTTATCTTTAAATATCTTGTTCAAATTGAATATCAATTTTTTTTTTTTTTACTTAAAAAAAAACTTATTCAAATTTGAATGTAAGTTTACTTTAAATATGTTACAAACTTCTTAAAATTCATAATTAGTAATAATTCTAACCATAATAAAAGTGAATATTTAACATGAAGTTTAGCAAAGAAAGTGATACCTCTATTATAAAACTTGATCTTTTGCCTACTGCTAATCACAAAGATCAAGTATATTGTAAATGTTTTTTGTGTGCTGAAAAAGATTATAGTGGCAATTGTGTTAGCAAGAGAACTCGAACTAGGCACATAAAAACTCAACACACTTACCAGAAGCCCACCATAGTATCTTCAGAGTCATCAAATTCAGAGTTATTGAGCAATGAAAATAATGATCAAATTAATGAGTTAAGTTTTTTTAATGTTAAAGTTTGCTGCAGTATGTAAATCTCTGCAGGGTTTATCGCTAAAAACAAATTAATATCTATTTTAATAAATTTTAATAAATTATAGTGAACTAGAACCTGTTTGTGATCAAGATTTATCATGGTTAGACTCTGGCATAGAGATGCAAAATTCATCTGAAATTCAAGATTTATTTTTATTAGATGTTAATGCTGAAAGTTTATCTGAAATTCAAGATTTAGTAATTTCAAGTAGTGATAATGAAATTTCACAAAAAAGCTGTAATACAGAAAGTATTTTAGAAAATGAATTTTTTATTTATAATACAACATCAGATGATTTTTCTGATTCCAAGAACAATTATTTAGTGGATGAATTTTCTGCTTATAATACAATATCAGACAACTATTCTAACTCAGATGATGATTATTCACAAAATGGTATTACATAACAATAAAAATATTTATTTTTTTAGCTAACTAAAGTTATATTTGGGTGCTGCCAAAGGAAAGCCCATATATCTGAAATAGATCATTATTGAATTCATAATAATTTATTTTAGATATATGGTTTTTTTTTGGCAGAACTCATTTAAACTGACATTTTTTTATGTTTATAAATATTAGATACAGAGTTGGACAATAACATATCAGAGGAATTGGCTATCACATTAAGGCTGTTCAAAGTAAAAATTCAATACAATTTAACTGATGAAGCATTTAGACAAACTATGATTGTGGTTAATGCCAAATCAATTAGCCTGGATCTTGTTAAAAAAACACTAAAGTTATTTGTAAATATTGAACCTATATGGACAGATATGTGCTTTAATTCTTGCTGTGCATATACTGAAAATTATCAAACATTAGCAAAATGTCCAATTTGCAAATTAGACCGATACTATTATCTTGGAAAAAATAGAAAGTCATGATGGCAGTTTGTATATTTTTTCCTTGGACAACATCTCTCTATTCAATATAGGGATTATGATCATGCAACAGAATTGAGGTATAGGTCTAATTATGTGATGCAAACTAATAATCAAATAAGAGATATTTTTGATGGTACTCTTTACAAAGAATTAGTACAAAATGATTATTTTCAAGATGAACATGATGTAGCATTAGTAGTTTCACTTGACAGTTACCAAATCTTTAGGCAAAAAACTGATGATTGTTAGATAGTGTTAGTAATTAATGCAAATTTGGCACCCAAAATTAGATTTAAAAAAGAAAATCTTTTGATTAGTCTTGTTATACCTGAGCCAAAAGAGCCAAAAAACCTTAATATATTTCTTTATCCCATGATAAAAGAGTTACAAAATTTTGAAGGTAAATATTTATAGTAATTCTTGTTATAAACAATTAATTTCATATTTATTAATGGTTAACAAACTAATAGAAGGTATAAACTATTATGATACAATTCGAAAAGAATCTTTCATACTTCATGCTGTAGTAGTCAATTGGTCAGGTGACACTCCAGGGTTAACAAAATTAATGTGCTTAACTGGTCATAATAGCTATCGAGGATGCTGATATTGTAACTTAAAAGTCATTTATACAAATCATATTTATTATCTTACAACACCACTTACAAATGTTAATACTATAAGATATTATGCATCTAATCTCCCAAGTCGAACACATGAAGAATGGAAGGAAAGGCTCAAGAAAATCCATGATGCAAAATCTGAAAAAGAATAAAGTGAATTAATTACTAATTACGGTATTATATTAAGATTAACAGTAATATTAAATAAGGATGTTAAGTAGTTCAAAGTAGTTCAAAGTAGCTTAAAGTAGCCTTTGGTGCATTGTTAATTTTGTAACTCTTACAAATAATTTTAATTAATAGTTAATAAAAATTTAATCAGTTACAAAATTAGTAATATACAAAAGATACTTTGAACTACTCAACATCCCTAATATTAAATAATATTAATTAAGTTATTATTTATATAGGTATTAATAAACATAGTATTCTATTCGATTTATCAACAATTCGTTTTCCAGACTCATTTACTGTAGACATCATGCACTTATTTTATGAAAACATTGCTAAATATATGTTTGAACATTGGACTGAAACTTTCTTTTCAGATGAATTACAAAATAAAGAGCCATATGTACTAAAAAAATCAGTTTGGGTTGATATTGGAAAACAAATGCATGCATTTCATAAAGATTTGCCGTCAAACCTTGGAAGACCATTACATAATATAATGTTATATCATCGTGAATATAAGGCTGAAGAATGGGCTGCATGGATAATGATGTACTCATTACTTTTGCTTAAAGGGTGATTATCTTTAAAATACTATAATGGATGGTATCTCTTTGTAAAGGCAGTAAGATTATGCCAAAAAAAAATTATATCTGCAGATGACTTAAATGATATTAATGATTTTTTATTGAAGTTTTATGCCTATTATAAACAGTAATATTTATATTAATCTTTTATATTATCTTTTTAATTAATTTATTATTATATAATTAATACTTATTAGAAAGTACTATAAGAATTCACGTGAATGCCTTAGTGCTATGAAAATGTGTATACATTATATACTTCACATATCTTCAAGTATCCATAAAAATGGTCCATGCTGGGCGACATGGCAGTTTCCAATTAAGCGTGTTTGTGGCATGTTATTACCACTTGCAAGGTCATGGTTGCATCCATATAAAAATATTATTAATAATATTTATATGATTGAACTTTTTAATCATTTAAAATTTTACAAGCAAATTAATCAAAAAATATTTTTACCTGTGCAAGAAGCAGTAAATTCAAATCAAATACATTTCTCAGCAGAAAGATATGAAGAACAATTTTTTGGCCCTATGGCACAGTATATGCTTAGTAAAGCAGAACTTAAAAAATTAAAAAATCATTATATAACAAACTTTAATGTAACATCAAATTAGTTATGGATTTGTATATTATTATTTCTTTCTAAAAAAAAACATTCTTAAGCTAATTATTAATATTTCTCTTTAGTCTTTCACTTCTCAAGTACAAAAATTTGGTCATTTATGCACCAAATACGGATATTATATAGGATCTAGTTGGATCACACAAAATTCAGATTGGGCATGTATAAATTATTCTGTACTGGTATGTATTGGTATTATCGTTATCTAATTCTTACCCAATTTAGTATTTTTATGCCTTTGGATTAAATCAATTAATGGGCTACTAGATAATACATACTTATTATGCACTATGATATATAGATTTAAAAATCAAGTATTATTGTTATTTACCAGAGTGTAAAATACATTTTCCTATAATTAATGAGCCAATATGCTTAATTATTTAGGTCTATATGGAAATAGACAAATATTCAAATAATCAAAAGCATGTGCCAGTTTTTGAAATGAAATCATTTTATGGCAATATTAAATATTATCTTAAATATAAACTTAATAATAAAGATCATATGCTGGCTTGTATAAATTGGACGACATCAGTTATAGAAGACTCAGCAGGGCTAAAATATTTTCGTTAATTTTTGGGTTATGATTTTATAGATGTAAAAACAATTGATTATTGTGTTGGATTCATTAAAGTAAACAATCTATATTACATATTTGATAATGAAGTAAACAATATATAAAGGTAACTTTATAACTTTATAATTTTCGTATTTATGAAAAAATTTTGCTACTTACATCAATATTATATTTGTAATTTTTTAGGAAATTAACTGGTATACTGCAAGAACTTATTCATTTTTAACCAGAAATTAGCTATTCACAAAATATCTCAGCTTTGATAATTATCATTAAAATTAGTGATGCATTAATTTGTATAATGCTTTAATTTGTATTGTTATTCATAATAGCTATTTTAAAAAAATTAAAATATTGATAATTAAATATCTACTTATATGCACATTAATATATTATTATTTTTAAAATGTTAGCGAATCCCTTTATCCTATATAACAAATTACATAGTGCTCATGTGTATAGCCATCCAATCTTTAATCAACAACAGTATCAATATGCATATAACTGATTACTTAAGTGGTTACATTCTTGATGGATTTATGGTTGAAAGCTTATATCTAAATGCATGTATTATCGTTAAAAACACTTTTGGTATGTAGTAATTTCAATTTTTAGTTACATTTTGATCTGATAGTTTAATTTGCTAACACTTTATTAATAGTTTTAATTTTGCTTTATAAAATCTGAAACATGTTATATTTGTTATTATTATGAATAGGCTTAATCATTCATTATCAGAAAACTGCTAACACAGGTTATTTACATTTAATTGGAGTCGAAAATAAGTGCTAAGAAAGACAAATAAAAATACTTAGATCAAAAATCTATTAATATAAATAATGTTAAATAGTTAATGAAACCAAAATTAAAAAGCTGATCACAAAATATTCGAACATTATTAAGAATATGACATTAAGAATCTATCAATATTGGCAATACCACTGAAACATATTTGTTTAAGTTATTATTCAGATGAAATTGGAGTTAAAATAGATTAATATAAGGCATTAAAAATTATATTAGTAGGCATAGATAATATGAGTATTGTTGGTATTACTTATCAACATAGATTTGAATTAAAAAAAAAAACAAAGCATTCAGGTACAGTCGATATTGTCTATTTGCATGCAATCTGTTAGACTTTCTATTCAAATAGATAGTATACACATTTAAGTTATAAGAACTATTTTTGTGCTAATAATGAAAAATCAATATTTTTATTTATTTAGAGAGTATATACAATTAGACAATATGCATATAGACAGTACCGACCTTATTATTATAAATTTAGTTTGTTTATATCTTATTTTGTACTATTTCCTAATAATCACACCATCGAAATTCATAAAACTTTATAAAAATTGTTATTATATAGAAAATGTGCATATTCATAGTATGCTTATATGAAAGGTGCTTATACAGAAGTGCGACTATACAATATTTACTATTTGACAGTTTCAATGTCTGTAGTAGTTTTAATAAAATAATATAATAAGTTATTTTATTTAAATTGACTTTATAATTATAATATTTAATTTTTGTTTAGTTATTGTTTATAAATTTTTGTTTGATTTTTGGTTAAATATATAGATTTATGTAATTTTTGTACAAAATATATATATTTTTTGTTTAAATCTACAAATTTAAAATAGTTCAATTTAGATTATTTTTTTTTAGATTTTCTATAATTATACAAAAACTACACAAAATAAGAAAATTTAAACAAAATTTAAACAATTTTAAACAAATATAAAATAAATAATAGATAACTCGTTTTTATAGGGCTACAATATCTTTTATATATATTATATATATTATATATATCATATCTGTTATATTTTTTAGTTCTTATATATTAATATTGTTATATTTAGTATTTATTAGCAATAAAATAGTTTTTTTTATAATTATTTATATATATATAATATTTATAAAAGCACTACTTTCTTGCTCTTCAAAAAAGTTAAATGTCTTCATACATTTTATTAAATAATAAATAAATACAGTTTATAGTATCTTTATATACTATTTATTATTACTTCTATTTTAAAAATACTAACTATTATATATATTGTTAAGTATTGTTATAAACTGTTTAAATTTGTTAAGTTATAGTTTTTATACTATAATTGAATAGCTTTTGTTATTATTGTTAAATAGAAAATATTTAAGTTAACATTTTATTGATAACTGTAAAATTAGTTTTCAATTTACTATAAATAATTAAAGTTAGTTAGATATAAAAAATTTATTAATTTTAGTTTATTTAACTTAAAATTTAAAAAATATATACTTGAAAACCTACTTCAACATTCTATTAAGCATATCTTAGTAAAAAATTTCTTTATACCTTGCTATTTGATATTAAAATACTAATTATATTTTTGAATTGCAAAGAATTTACAAAAAAACTCTTTTGAAAAAATATTTTAACTATTATTATACAAGCTTTAACCAAACATAACTCAACAATCACTAGATTAATTTTAGCTGTTTAATTTTCTTTAGATCTAAAAAAACTTTTATAATTTTTTCTTAAATAATAAAGATTATTATTATAATAACTTTTTAATATATTTTGTTTATTTTTTGAAAATTAATATTTAGAAATAAAGCATAGGTGTTTGCATTGTAACAAATAGCTTTCAAATTGATAATAATGCAATTTAACTTTAAAGAAATTTTATTAAAAATATTTTTATATGCCAAAGAATATACTGCTCAGTTATTTATATTTAAAACAAATGATTCTTGTAAAATTTGGTACTCTATAACTACAACAATACCTACATTTTTTAAAACTTTTAATTTTGATATATTAAACAATACTTTGCTTGTAATTTCTCTGGCAAAGCTATAGAATATTTTGAATGAATTAAATATATTTGTAGTTAATATAATCTATCTTAATTAAAAAATATTATCTTTAGACTTGTTTTTTGTTTAGATATTTTAGTTCTCTTGTAAATATTCTTGATATTCTTAATATTATTAAAAGTATAGCATCTTTAGCTGTTTATAAAACTGTATTAAAGAAACTTTTTTATATTAACAAATAAGAATTTTGAACCTTACTATTATTTTGACTTAGAAATTTATAGTAACTTCTGATATCTTTTTTGTAGATCTCAAAACAATAAATAAACAAAAAAAAAGAAAAAATTGTAAAAACCTAGCTAACTAAAAATAGAATAATAATACCAACTGCAAAATAATCTGGCATCTTTTATATACTAAATCTAAAACAAATTTAAATACACTATTACAAAAAAAAAGAAAAAATGCAAACTCTATACTAAAAACAAAAAAATATTTCAAGATTATCAGAACCTATAGCTGTCTTTATTTTTATAACAATGCAAACTCTTAATATACAAGTTATTATAAATACCTTACTAAACAATAGAAGTTACATTAACACAAACAACTTTTCTACAACTGACTTAGCAAAAATAACAAAAATATTACAAATAATTACCAAAAAACTCTAATACAATCAGTTAAACAAAATAACAAAGTTAGAAAAAGTAACTTATTTATATCAAACAGTTATATAATTATATATACAATCAACTTCAACAACTATACAACAAAACAAACTGATTTAAACAATAAAAAAACCAGTTTTGTAAGCAACAATAACAACTACATAACTATTACTTAGAACAACAACTTTTGTATTACTATAAGTGATAAGCAGACATAAGCACTAAACTTTACAATGAAAATTAAGCATCTAATACAGAAAAATATACAATAAACTAATACTAATAACCAAAATAAGCCTTTTCAAATAGAGATGTATTCTGACTAAAACATGAAGACTGAGTTTGTTAACACAATATAAGCACTAAAAATCAACAAGTAATATACACAAATAAGATATATATATAGCCAGACAGTCAAAAATAGAACAACTACAGACACAGATTCAGAAAGTAATACAGATTATATGCAAATATAAACAGAACAACAAAACTAAAATATAGATAAAAAAATTTTAGAATCTTTGACTTAATACTTTAAAATTATCAACTAATTACAGAAGCTTTTTAATCAAATAAAATTTATAAAAACTTACTTAACATATACAAATTTAAAAACCTATTCATGAATACAATATAAAAATATAAAATTAAAAACAAAATAATCATTACTGTCAATAAAACAAGAGATAGGATACATCTTAAACTTTAACAAAAAATATATATTAATTATATTACTAATACAAACTTTAATACATGTATACAAAAGCATATTTTTTAATTATTAATATACTACAAAGGATTTAAAAGAAATGAAAAAGCAATAGACAAGGAAGCTATACAAAAGGCAATTGCAAAGATAATAAAAAGTAAACTAACAAAGCTTTTAAACACACTAATAAGAATTTCAGATAAAATAAAAGCCATTTTACTTTTCAAACTTTCTATAAACTTCAAGTTATAACAAAAAGCTATAATTATGCATTGCATAAAATATTCAAGTTTGAAAAGCTACTATTTACATACTTTGTAGAACTTCTACTACACATTATAACTTAAATAATCTAAATTACACAATTAGACACCTCTTTCTAATAACTGAAAAAAGAAAACTAAAAAGACTCACATATTATAAAAAATAATTACAAGATATTTACAGCTGTAATAAAATTTTAGAGCACTTTTCTTATTTGCTTTTACCAATGTCTAAAAAATATTTTTTTTTGTATATCAAAATATAGAAGATTTATAATTAAGAGCATGCTTTCTAATAAACAGAGGCAATTAGAATACAAATATGCAAGATATTGTTACAATACTTAGAGAATTCTATACTTTTTAGAACATATTAAATAACTATTTTTTAGTAAAACCCAGCCTACCAAAAGACCTAAGCAAATTCAAAACTCAAAACATATATATCTACCTATAACAAATAATACAAAAGCAGCAACTTTTATATATAAAGTTAAAAGAATATATAAAATTACAATATTTATCCCAAAATTGATTATGACTGCTAATTTTACTAATAAGCCTAAATTATTTACAGATCTTAAAATAATTATGAAAGTTAATCTTACAATTCCAATAAACATACTCAAAAAATAACAGAAATTACATGTCTTTTCAGATCTTATTATTACTTTTAAAACCTATTTGCAAAATAAATATAGTTACCAGATACAAATAAAGAAACTACAAACAAAATAGATAAAACAAAAAGACAAAGCTTCAAATATCAAATACTATTACTCAAATACAAAAAGATTTTAAAAACTATAAAATAGATATAATTAACATTATATTATCATAACAAGCCTAAATATTGCAACTCTTATATTAGCAAAACTTAGACAACATTATATAATTAAAACAATATCTAAACACATTCTTAAACTACTACTACTTTCTGAACAAGAATAAGTAATATTTTGATTTTATTGAAACTAAATACAATATAACAAATATAAAAACAAAACATCAATATCCTCTACTATGGCAACTTCAAATTTTTTAAAAAATATTTAATAAAAACTTATAAAGTTACTTTCTTACAAATTAATAATAATTTGACAATAGTAATCTATAATGTACAAGTCTTAATAACAGATTTAAGCTATAATTATAGCTCAAGCACTGCTAAAAATATTAATACTATATTTTAAACATAATTAAAACCAAACTTGCCAATTTAACTTATACAGAACTATTTATAAACAATCTATATTATTATGTCTATATCTCAAATTGCAATATCTAATAAGTAGTCAAAAGAGAAATAAGCTTTGGTACTATAATTATAATTACCAAACTACTTAGACTCTATATTTACAACATTATAACTAAACTATAAACTACTATTGTAATAGATTTTTTTTTTAAACAAAAATCAAATTTATATAATTTTTACTTATTTATTAGCTACAAACCATTCTCTCAATATAAGTATATAGCATATAGTAACATATTGGGTAACCTAGGTAACAGACAAAGGATATTATATAATTGTTTTTAAAAACTTTAATATTAATAAAAACTCAAAAAGAAAACAGCATCACTCTTTAATACACTAAACTTATATAAACTACTTAGCATATTTGATTACTTTAATATTACAAAATCTACCTAAATATAACAAGAAATAAATAGCC